ATTTTTTTTTTTTTGTATGACTTCTGGATAGCGTTGAAGGTGAAGGATGTGTTCTTTTCAGGCCCGGTGTGGTCAGCCAGAAGAACGATCAACCTTTTGTACTATAATGAACTAAAGGGGACTCGGAAAACGCAACGTGATGGTAGATGTGGGTGTAATCACACAGCTGCCCTGTAGTGTAGTTTGCCGAAGCTGATTCGATCGAATGTCAGTCTGCGTGATTTAAATCTTCCAGCGCTATGTGATCAAAAATTAATCTAGTCCTTGAAAGCTGATGCTATTCACCTGGAGGAAGATGCTCCAGTACTGTAGGGATGCCCAGGTCACGGATACGTGCTGTTGTTGAAGTTTTGTGGCTGGAGGGGGTGTGTGTGGGGGGGAGATCTCCTTCCTTCGGTGGGGCTGCCCGCCCGGCTGCTGCTGCCTCCACGGAAATGCCAACACGGCAAGGTAAAAACAGTATTACGAAACCACTACGTACACCAACGTCAAACTCTTCAAACAGTGCTTTTGTAAGCAAAGAAGAAAAGAAAAGCTCCTAGGTTTAGTTTTAAGCTTTAATAAGTAATAATTTTCTGTATCTTTAAGTCAAAGTAACCCTAACTTGTATGACTGCAGTGTTTTTATTTTTTATCTTATGCACATGTTATGTTGGAGAAAATGTTTACAAAAATGGTTTTGTTACACTAATGTGCATCACATATTTATGGTTTATTTGAAAGTGATTTTTGTGGGTTTTTTAGTTTTTCATAGTAGTAGTAGTACACTTTTTGTGATTTATAACCCCAAACTCTGCTGATTATAAAGATGCTAAACAATAATACAAAATGACAAACTGCATTAAAATTACTAATCGTAGAGCTGCAAAGCAGACTGGTGACAAGTAAAACACTCAGCCTTTTTTTTGCAGTGCTATCTAACTTGTCTTCTGTGTATTATGGAAATTACTGTTTTTTCCCCGTTTTTCCTTAAATAAAGTCAAATTGACACCGATTGTATGTGGAAAGTATTTTGAGTCTCTACTGGCTGCAGAAATCAAGCTGCATGTTGCCTAGTTGCATGTGTTCATAAGAACAAAAAAAAGCCTTATTGTCAAATCCCGTAATTTTAGAGACTTTGACAGTAAACATGGGCTTTTGACGGCTTTTTTGTTGTTGTTGGTTTGGGGTTTGTTTTTTTTATTTCCTTCAAGCCCTGTCTCTTGGTGCAGTTGCTCTTTTGAGAATTACAATTTTCCTTTAAAAAATGGAAAGTGATAAGCTTAGAAACATCAGCGGGTGCCCAGTGGTTCAGAAAGAAGAAAGAGCCTGGGTACGTTGTTGTGAACGTACCCTCCCACTGCCCAACACCGCTTTCGGGCATGTGATTTTTGCAAGCTGGCATTACTTATTGCCGAGAGAGCGCGACAAACGGGAATCCTGAGCCAGATTCTCGCGTGGCGTAAGAGCACGGCTCCAAAAAACCCAAGGCTTTCCGAGTCGTAAGCTGTGAGTACTGAGCAGGTTTGATGCAAAGCCGCTGTTCGTGCCCCCAGGGTTCTTGTTGGCCTTTGCCCATGTTTTTCCATCGTGGGCCATGTCTGTTTTCTGAAACAGAGATAAGATGTTTCCTTCCGACTAGGCTGGTCTCTGCCAGAGGAGGAGGAAGTCGGTGTGTTCCCGGGCCCCTGCCTTTCCTCACCCTTTCATCTGCAGAAGGCAAGGGATGTGGTGTAAGTTGAAGAATGTTTCAGGGTTTCACTTGCTTCCTATGGACAAAGGTATCTGAAATCCTCCAGCCCCGCAGCTTTTCCGCTTCTGCAAGCGTAGATACTGACTGAGCTTAAAACCTAGCACTGCTGCTCAGGCTCCTGCCAGCCCCACCCCGGTTACTGCTCCGGAGCTGCTGGTTTTCTTCCGTCGGTCTTGACCTGTTGAAGACTCCCCTGAGGTCAAACATCCTTCACGTAGTCGAGCACCTTAGCGAGCCGTGAAGACGGGCACGAGCTGTTGCTCGTTACAGTTTGCAGTAAGTAACCAAACGCAGCAACCCCAGGCGTGAGCTTCGCAGTGGGCTCTGGCAGAACCGACAGAGGTCGTGCAAAACCTTCACGCTTCTCCTGCGAAGAGAGACACGGTTGCTGTGATTGACAGGAAGAAGGAAATGAAAAAATGAGAGCACTGGAAACTGAGCAGCGGATCTCGTTCCTCCATGGGACTTGTGTGGGTAGCAGTAGTGAGGCTGGCCCAAATTTGTACCCTGTGAGGGGGGGAGGAGGGATGTACACAGGACAGAAAGTACAAGTTGTGCAGCAAAAGAACATGTGCATCTTCAAAATTTAACCACTGCAGTAGTCAAACCTGAGA